CATATAGGGCGATAGTTCTTAAGATCTTCTCGATCGCCCTTTTTGTACAGCAGGACCGTATTCGACTCCTTCCATTGAGAGGGTATTACTCCCTCTGCTAGGTAGCGGTCGAGGGATAGAACGAGGATTTTCCACAGCTTTCTTCCGCCGGCCTGCAGCATTTCTGAGGTGATGCCGTCCTTTCCTGGTGCTTTTCCTTTCTTCATCAACTTCAGGGCCCTCTCAATTTCGCTGGCCAGAATAGGTCACTTCCACTGGCGACGGTGGATGGACATATACGGTCAATATGAAGAGGTTAGTGTAGAAAGCTTTGCAAACTTCCTCCACTCCTCTCCTATCATTTATCGCGATGCCATCCTTGTTCTTCAATGTTATCACTGCCGCTCGATAGAGTGCCATCTTCCTTTCGCATTGCTTGAGGCTTTTCCTGTCTTGCGCAGCCTTCAGGAGCTTTTCTTTCCTAAACTTCTCGAAGTCTTCCTCCAGGTGTTGTCGTATTGCTTTGCAGAGGATAGAATACTCAACCAGATCTGATCCATCACGTTTCATATTCCTCCGCTTCTCCATCATCTTCTTGGTCCCCTCCGAGGTCCTTCCACATGGCTCCTTCTGGCTTGCAACTTTCACCTTCCTCAAGCATTCTTTCAGTTTCTGAACCAGCGAATCGTAGTCTTCCTCGATTCCCTGAAGCAGATCCCATCGTTCATGCGCTACGACATCCCTCAGCTGCACCTCGTTCATGGCCTTCACTCGTTGTTCCCTCGACGTCAGATGCAGAGCCCTCTTTTCCCTCTGCTCATCCAACACAATCTTCGCCCGCACCAGGCGGTGATCACTTCCCATGTTGAACGGCGCTATCACCGAGATGTCCTGCACGATGCGTCACTTGTCGACCAGGATGTAGTCGATCTCGTTCTTCGACCTTGTGTTCGGGGCTATCCAGGTCCATCTCTTCCACGGTGCCTTCTGGAACAGGGTGTTCCTCATGTATAGCCTCTTGGCCTCCGCCATGGTGGCCAGTCGTTCGCCTCTCAAATTCCTTTCACCGAGCCCGAATCTTCCCACGTACTTTTCACCTTGTCGTCCTCTTCCGATCTTTGCGTTGAAATCTCCCATCGTGATGGTATAAGTGGATTTGGAGACTAGAATGTCTTCTAGCTCCTGATAGAACTGTTCCACTTACTATAATAATAATCCTCGAGGCCTACTCCTTGCTGACGATGAACCCGACGCCTCTGATCGCTCTTCGGCCTTCTCCACATCCTAGTCTCACGACGGTACCATCATTCCATCTCGCATTCAACTCCTTCCTCTGACGTGTTTCGCAGACTCCCAGCATGTCGCACCTGATCTTCAGCTTCTCCTCCATCAGATGGTTCAATCCGGTCCCCCTTGCCAGAGACCTGCAGTTGTAGGTACATATGGCAAGGTTAGTCCTTTTCCTGGACGGCTGTTCGGCACCCGAGATTCTTCGCAGCCTCTCGTCATACAGATTGTGCCCCGCCGTCCTGGAGCGGTCCGATAGACGTGCAGGGTACTGTGGCCCATTTTTCAGTTTTGTTTTAGCCATAGTTTGACGCCACCCCGCTGGCTGGGCGGGCAGGCCATTACCTCTTCGGTTTAGCTAGCCTGCAGCCTCTACCGAGTGGGCTCGTTGTCCGCAAGTGCTAAGACAGCCCACCGGCATGGTCGCCAGCCCAGTACCTTTGTAGCATGGTTGGACCTGCCAGGGTATGTGAATGAATGCCCAGTTACCATAGCTACCGGACAGCCAGTGTCACCGTTGCGCCGCTTTGAGGCACTGAAATTATAGTTCTGCAATTGCAAATTGTAGCTGATCTTTTTCTCTGCATACTTTTTTAGCCCCCTTTCACATCATTCATTAACGATCAGGACACACGCAGACCACCACAAAGCAGGTATTATTGGTTAATTCTCAGCATTGCAGAGATGCTGACATAGTAAGTGTGGTACTAATGAAGGACTAGAGGATGACCACCACAAACTGTGCAGCAGCAGATGAACTATCATCTCTGACTTTACATCTACAAGGTGGACTGACAAGGTAGGAGTGTCTAATAGAGTGGACAGTGGGTGGACACAGTGTTTAAAAACTCCAGCAGCACTGCTGTGTCTGATCCACTCGCACCAGCACAACACACACTAACATACCAACACCACGTCAGTGTCACTGCACTGTATAGAAAGAAACAGATAGACTCCTACCTGTTAAAAGTACTCAGCTCTTGACAGATGTGGAGGTCTCTGGTCAATTTCTTTGTCACTTGCAGTTTGTGAAGATGGATTCATCATGACTGCATGTAAAATGTAGAAATAGGTGAGCAAAATTAGTAATAAATACTCACCATACAAAACATAAGGATAAAGAATCCTGAACAAACGGTAAACAGCATCAAAAATAAACGTACAAAGTAACAAGAAAAACAAAGGTATATGCAAAGCAACACAAGAAAGAGCAGGTTACTGTGAACAACATTGTACTTTGTCTTTTACAATAGTACACAACCTTTAAAGTTCTATTGTTTTCATACAACAGTTTTGCAAAGTAAAGATAAAAGCAAAGCAGGTGAGTCAAATACATATTAAAATACATTATATTGACAATGTCTTGTGCTAAAAGACATAATAAAATATTTAACGTAATATGAAATAATATTACAAAGAGCAATACCATAAAGATACTATAAATTAAAGTACCTGGGACAATTCCTGATCAGTCAAGAATCAGAAGCAGCAGTGGACGGCTGTAAAAGATAAAACATTTGGTAAAGGTTTAAAAGACTAGCTTCAACAACTGAAACAGACACAGGCACATTTATGTTGGCTAACTTCATTTCTATAAGCATTCAAGCCTCTCGAATCTAGTAAACCTGCTGCTTTTATAGCTTAGAGATATTTTTCTGGCTTATTCTGGAGTTGGTAATCAGCGAGAAGCAGGGTGGGCAAAATACACAGCTTCTTAGTTGTTGTGTAAGACAGGTGTTGGTAATGTGAGTAAAAGCAGAAACACTCTGGGTTATATATTACTTGTGAAAAAGTATTCAGTCAACATCTGTACTGGAGTCAGCATGAGAAACCATTTAAAAACATCACAAAACTGTTCTTTCCCAAAGGTTATTACAGTCAGTCAACAGTCAGTCATGAGAAACACAGACATATTAATAACTATGAAGCTTAAAAGACTGACTTCAATTAAAGACAGACATATTCATCTTAGACGATTACAAATGTAGAAAAATGAGTGTAAACAAATCAGCAACATGCCAGAGAAAGAGAGGTAAATAAAAGTTGCTTCCATGCCTGAGAAATGCTAGTGGTAGATGTAGGAAACATGTAGGTAACTGCAAGAAGAAAAGATATGGTTAAGCCTGAAAATGGGGACATAAGGAGAAGAAAGAACAGATTTCACAAACTTTAGTGTGATAAAGGATTGTTAGCATGTAAAATCACTTGGCAGCTAGTTGCCAAATAGAAGCTCAGTTGACCTTATTAAACTAATGCTTTACCTGTACCGGTCACTCCACATCTCCCCCTTAGATTTCTGTTTTTATTCTCTAAACTCCTGTGAGAAAAGCATTGAACCTGATATGTGGCGTGTGAGCCTGTTAGCCTGCTGGCCACCAAGCTAACAGCCCCACACATCACAGACCATAGTTAGCTAGCTAGTTTCTGCTTTTCTGTCATTCAAACACCGGTCAGTTACTCGACATCTCCCGTTCAAATTTGAGCCCATCATGAACAGCACAGGTTAGCCGGAGTGAAAGGGTCATTCAGCAGAGCTATTAACTTAGCCTAAGCTTGCGCATACATAGCTAAGCTAGCTAGGTTAATTAGCTTGCTAGCAACTCTAACAAGTGTACACACTAGTTTATTATACCATAAATTCGACACCGTCTCACTTTAAAATTGTAATTTAGCTAAAAAGTTGCCTTTCTCATATTTTGTGAGAGCAAACAGTCATACAAAAGAGGTGACTCGCTAGCGAGCTAGTTAGCTAGCTAATGCTAGCTAACTTAACTGTTAGCAAGTGATGCTTATTTTCGTTTTGACATATAAAGAGTTCAACATGCACAAATTAAAGAATTAGGTTTGAATAAATATCCGATTGAAAAGCCGCTGCTACGTCAAATAAACCAATAAATTATTCACCAAACGCATTTTGAATCCTTTCGAAGTTTCCAGAAGCGGCTTCAGACATGCAGTTATCGCCTCCGCGGTGAAACGTTGGTGACGGCTCGGAGCTCAATACAGGTGTAATCTGCTCTCCTCAATATGGGTGGAATCTTCCAGTATGTTTTTTTGCAGACACATCAGAGAGCCTCACCTCTGTCCGTACCATAACAGCAAAATCTGTAGTTTAAGTCCGGGCCAGGCTTCTAGCTTTTGCTAATAAAAACTAAAAGGCATTAGCTAGCTGCTAGCTTACATTTGACTTACAGCACAGGAAGTTTGACATGTTTGGTGAGCTGCAGTAACTTAAAAGAATGAGCAACTGCCACAGTGACCGATTGGAAATTGTTTGTTTCCTAGCAATAATTAAAAAGGTCTTACCTTTGGGACATTGGAGGACTGCAACCCCTGAAACGTGTAGTCACTGGTGTCCATGAGGCACAAAATGCATTGGGCAGAAATGTGAGGTGGTTAAAACCAATGACCTCCCAATGAGTAAAATCTATTAATTTTCTGCATCGTTGTTGTTCCTGATAAAACATAAGTAACTTCAACTCAATGTATTACAGCTAATTTTATTCAACCAAAACTGCGATTAATTAATTAAAACATTCAAATTTACTGGATTTAGCTCAGTTTGATTTCTAACTGAACATAGTCTTTTTATTATGTAGAGGTTACAATTAGTTATTTAGTAAATATTAATTAACCCCAGTCCCACTTTTTACAGTGTACTCGCTTGAGATTAACAGCAACAACCCAATCATCTGAAAGCTCACTTCTCTGAAAATAGGTGTGGCATACACAAACTGAGTAAAGAACACACATGCAGCTTCCTGAAATCAGTGAAGACGAAGAAAGGAAACTACCAGCCTTCAGACTTTACTGAACAGAAGCAGAGAGTAAAAGTCTCACTCTTTTATATCGACACCTTTGGATTTAACCTTGAAAACTTCAGTGTTGTTGGATTTACATTACTATTCCATCACCAACATGTCTGATGGTAAGTCACTTTCTCTTTCTCTTCAATGCGGAAAGAAATGGGAATGAAAAATTCATGAAACAGTGTTAGAAATGTAAAGAGAGTGATTCAGAGTGGTTTGGTGTGAAATGATTCAGATGTCTTTACAGTGGTGGTGATAAGAACCAGGCGTCAACATGACTACAACACAGATATAGACATTTTATTTACTATCCAGAACCACCAGTGAACCTACACGTTGTCTCAGTTTCTTTGGAAACCTCATGCATCCCTCGACCATGAATGAAGTTTAAAACTCCTTTTAGTCTCAAAACTATCATAAAACAGTGTCTCAGTCATCAGGCAGTGAATTCATAACCATTTCATGCAGTAACTTTCTGTGAGGGAGCTTTTAGAGGTGGACGTCTGGTTCCTATCACCACCACTGTGAACAGTTCTGACTCTGTAAGTTTCTCTAGAGCAGAGCGTTTCACACCAAACCACTCTGAATGACTCTGTTTACATCTTAACCATTTAATTATGCAGGAATTTAAAAAAAATGAATGGATTTCCCTATTAAACTGTTTTCTGCACATTTTACAGCTCTTATTGCTGTAATTAAAGGGTCAAAAAAATCACTACAATAATTGACAAAAACAATACAAAAAAATGTCAAAGGCACTGATATATAAAATGAGTGCAATGAAAAATTTACAGTAACAGTTGCCAGCCAATGTCAGCTTTTTGCATTGTGGTTTAAATTTAGAAATGATGGCACAAATTTGGACTACAGCTGTTTGAGGTAGTATAATGATAATTACAGAAAGAAATAAAATCCTGTTGACCCCACAGACTGAATACAGGGTGTCCCAAAAAAATTGACATCATTTGAGATGTGAATATCTGAGTAGCTACATGTCCTAGGCAAACGAAATTAAATAGGTTTCATGTTGAACAGTACAAGATTTATTTATCAAAATTCAAACAAGAAATTCAGAGGGATGTAGATTTTGTAACCAATTTTGCAAAACTTCACAAATGTTCAATATGCGCACCGCCTGTGAAACGACACACGTCAAGTCGTTAGTCCAGCTCCTGCCAAACACGCTGTAGCATGTCTTGCATAACAGTCTCTAGCGCAGTAGTAATTCTCTGCTGGAGTTCCTCTAGGCTTGTAGGAAGAGGGGGGGTATAGACCAGTCCTTTCACATAGCCCCATAGAAAAAAATTCACAAGTTGTCAAGTCAGGTGAACGTGGTGGCCATTTCAACAGCATTACATGAAACGTTAAAAATTAAACTTGATTAGTTTTTAGACATGTTGTTAAAATTTGTAAAATTTCACAGAGCAAGACAAGGTTCAACTAAAAAAGAAAATGGTTATTTCAAAAGATGGTTCAGTAAAAAAAAATCACATTTACATAAATTTCCTCTTACACTAGACATAGTCCATCATGTTTACAGTCCAAATTGTATTCGTTATGTTTAATGAAAAGGAGCTACGAGGCTAACAGTGATGGCAAACAATAGAAGTCAGTAGTCATCGAAACACATCCTGAAAATTCCTCTCTACATGCTGAAAACTATACAAATAAAAAGTAGTTCACTGTGTAGCTGAACACAGCAGGTAGTCATTTTGGACAAAAGCTGTTTTACTGGATTTTGACCACAGAATCGGACATACTAAACACCAAATTACTTTCGGGGTTTCTGTTGTTTCTTTTTAAAAACATATATCTTCAGTTGGTAAAGTCAAGACTAACTTGTTAGACCAGCTTATTAAAAGCAGTCATTCAGTAATTATCTTATGTGCTGTCATTCATGAATAATGTCATTTAATTTCCATGACTCCTTAATAAGGTTTTGATTACTGCTTATTTTTGTTTTGCAAATCTTTTAAGAGGTCTGAACTAGGACTTAAACAGCGTTGAGATTTGGGTTGAGCGTTGGGTATGACAAAATATTTAAGGTCATGTACTGCATTAAGACTCCCTCTGCTCTGTAAATGGTGCTCTACTGAGATCATGGAAACTTTTGTTTACATTTTTTATGTTTCAAATGTTGTGATGAATGGTCAAACTGTTAGCCCATACATTGAAATTATATTTGGTGTAGAGCTTCAACTAATTACCGTAAGAGAGCCTGGTGCTGCCATCATACATCAAATGTAATCACAGATTTGCAAAATCTGTACAAAAAACACAGCCGTCCACTAAACCACAGTCTTCTCTCTCTCACTACAGACAGTTCCCCTGCAGTTAATTTTGCTGGATTTCCTGTAGGAAATGAGACTGAACATGGTGTGGATGTGCCCAACGATTACATACATGTTCTGAAGAGCAGCCTCACCACAGTCTTCCTCCCTCTCGTTTACGTCTTCATCTTTATTGTGGGGTTGCCCACCAACGCCATGGCCCTATGGGTGTTCCTCTTCAGGACAAAGAAGAAGTATCCAGCGTCCATCCTAATGGCCAATCTAGCACTGGCTGACCTGCTCTTCATCGTGTGGCTCCCACTGAAGATCGCCTACCACTTCAACCGCAATGACTGGACCTTCGGGGAGCCACTGTGTAAAGTCCTGGTGGGGTTTTTCTATGGGAATATGTACTGCTCCACTATCTTCATAGCATGCATCAGTGTGCAGCGCTACTGGATGATTGTGCACCCACTTTCTAGGAAACCAGGTAACCGTGTAACAGTCTGCATGTCTGTTTGCGTGTGGATTGTGGTCTGGCTCATCACCATACCCCTCTACCATTATGACCAGACTGTTAAAGTCCTCAATCTGAACATAACTATCTGCCATGACGTTGCTCGTCCCAGCCAATCAAAAATCCCTGCTGGATATTTCCTGACTATGGGTGTTGTGGGATATGTAGTCCCGTGTGTAGTGTGTATAGTAACATACCTGCTGACCTTTCGCTCCCTCAGCAGGTCCACGTCAGACACCAGCTGCATTAAGAAGAAAAAGAAGGCTATAATCCTCATGATTACTGTGCTGGTGATGTTTCTGGTCTGCTTCACTCCCAGTAACATCCTGCTGATGGTGCATTACTCTCTGCTGGGTGCAGAGCTTCAGAATAATGTTTATGGTTTTTACATCATTGCGCTGTGTCTGGGCAGCCTGAACAGCTGCCTGGACCCGTTTGTGTATTACTTTGTCTCAGATGAGTTCAGAAGGCATGTGAGGAATGCCCTGATGTCTCACAGTTCCACAACCAAACTGATAAATGTTTCCTACAGACCTGTGAAACCATACACAAGTAGACTAACTCCTCCAACAAACACAACATCTACATCAACGTCTACACCTACATCTACACCTATATCTACACCTACACCTACACTCAAAGTGTGTAATTAGACTGACCCCATCAAAGGTTCTCTGAATGCCACAGTCAAACATGAAAATGGACAGCTTAACCATGGTTAACTGGGCATTCCGGCTAGCATTTAATAGGCGAGTCCTTATCCACATAAACATATAAAACTAATTTTGGGAATCTTGCCCCATTAAGACTCAACCTCGTCTGTTACTGTAAATTTTGTGCCATTTTTTAGTGTAAGATGTTGGTGTGAATGTGGAATAGCTGTGGTGACCACATGGCAAGTCACTATGAACTCTCTGCTTTAAAATGTGGTCTTACTCTCAACTCTTGAGTTTACTGTTCATGATGTAAATGTAAAAGATGACAGAGTATGAAATCTGATTCACTATGTATGTTTTTATCACTTTACTTATATTTTTGAAATATGGCTGGGCACAATTTAGTAAGACAATGCATCAAATACATTTTTATGGGTACATGGCTACATATTCAGTTAATCTTATTGAAGTTGTACTGCATGTATTTCAGTTTGCTCTGGTGAGGACATTGTAGGCTGTAAGTTACAAAGAAATATGTCACACTATAAAAGCTATAATGTTTCACACTGTAATAGCATGGTCAGTGCAACAGTGTTTATCAGTACTTGGTGAAAAGTTGCACAAATCCAACAATGAACAATAAAGCCATTTACAAAATGTATACAGTTCAGAGAGGATTTCTCATGTATCTTATATATGGAATGAAAGTCTGAGAATGTGGAATGAAAGTCTGAATATATGGAATGAAAGTCTGAGAATATGGAATGAAAGTCTGAGAATATGGAATGAAAGTCTGAATATATGGAATGAAAGTCTGAGAATATGGAATGAAAGTCTGAATATATGGAATGAAAGTCTGAATATATGGAATGAAAGTCTGAGAATATGGAATGAAAATCTGAATATATGGAATTAAGTCTGAATATACGGAATGAAAGTCTGAATATATTGAATGAAAGTCTGAGAATATGGAATGAAAATCTGAATATATGGAATTAAGTCTGAATATACGGAATGAAAGTCTGAATATATGGAATGAAACTTGAATATATTCCATTTCCGCAGTCTATAGATATGTCTTTGTCATCAAAGTGATAGCATTCTGAATGTCTTGGCTTGACAAAATGGCATCTTTTGCAACTTTTTTGCAAAAGCTGGTCATACTCCAAAATGACACGAACTGTTTGGAGTCGATATCACGTCAACTTGAGGATCATATTTCCATTATTGCGACATTCTTAGTGGTTATGAGTAACCATGTTCAAAAAAATGCTGCTGAAAGAACATTTTTTGTAATTCTTGAAAGAATTTATGAGCCTCTCAGTGAGATGTTGGTTGAAATAACACGTCCGGTAGAAGCTGATAGACAGGCGCATTGGACGGGCACACCATCTGCATCTCAGAAAGGAAGCCCTTGGTAAGTGATAGAAATGGTTTTGGATGGCAAAATAGACTATTTCTGCCATGCATCGCTATTTTGCTGTATTTTCATCTTTATGGATAATGCATAAACACTGTACAACCACAGGACACAACTTGGTTTAGTAGACTATGGGAATTTCACCAACATGTCAAATGATGATCTTGACCGTCTCATTACTGAGATTCTAAGTCAAACCCCTGGCTCAGGAGAGACCTACATCGCTGGCAGTTTGAGAGGGAGAGGGATCAGAGTTCAGCGATGACGAGAGCGTTTACGAATAGTAGATCCAGTGGGAAGAGCCTTCAGAGGTCGAAGGGCAATTCAACAGAGGGTCTATGATGTCTCTGTCCCAAATCAAGTATGGTATGTGTTGTTTAATCATTACAGTCATTACTTACTAGCTGGTGAATGAAACACATGAAAACGATTTATGTAAGGATAAGAGGATCAAAACTATGTGAAATAATGAGTGGTATAGGTCATTCTATGAAAAAAAAAAAAATCTTGTGTGAAATAAACATGAAAATGTAAAATAATGCAATAATCGTGAAAATATATATGAAAAGAATTAATAATATTATTATGATGAATTCCAAATATTTGATATTATTATTTATATTATTTTTTTCCACACCTTGGCATAGAATATATTCTTTGATTTTTTTTTTTTTTATATTAAACACTTCTATCCAATGTATCTGGAGTTGTAACAGTTTTATTACTGCACTGTAAATCCTGACAAGTTGATCTTACTTAAAAATTCTAGGAAACCAATTGCCTTAAAAAGGTAAGTAAATATAACTATCAGCCTAAAGTTAAGACTAAATAGTCCTATTTACTCACTTTTTTCAAGGCAGTCGGTTTCCTGGATTTTTTAAAACAAGATCAGCTTGTCAGGTTTTACAGTAGAAATAGTCTATCTGGTATGAAAAATACCAAATAAGTTACATTTTGATGTACATCAAATGTGGTTTATGATGGACTCATTTCTTTTTATTCCAGGCATATTGACACAAACCACAAGTTAAATCCATGGGGATTTGTGTTCCACGGAGGAGTTGATGGCTACAGTCGCTGCATTACCTACCCGAGATGTTGCACAGACAACAGAGCATCAACTGCTTTGCAGCTTTTCCAGGGTGCTGTTGGTTTGTTTGGACTCCTGCATCATGTCAGGGGTGATGCTGGTAGTGAGAATATTGACATTGCACGTTATATGATTGAGAATCGAGGGACAAACAGAGGAAGTTTTATGGTTGGACGTAGTGTACATAAACAAAGAATTGAACGATTGTGGGCAGATCTAAACAGGGTGGTGTCAGCATACTTTAAAGACCTTTTCCTCTCTATGGAAAATACTGGAGTTTTAAATAGCACTGACGTACTTCACAGTAGGGCTCTTCTCCGTGTTTACCTTCCAAGAATAAACAGATCTGTGGATGAATTTGTAAGCCAGTGGAACCACCTCAGCTTAAGGACAATGGAAAGCAGCTCCCCACTGCAACTGTGGACAGTTGGAATGCTTCAACTTCCTCAGCATCAGAGACTATTCAGTCATGTTCATGTAAAGTCTGGGATGCACATATCCTGCCACAATCGTTACTAAAAGGACAAATAGACAAAGTAGGAACATAGATCCACTTATTTGTAGAAAGGCCATACCACAACCCATAGGGAGGTAACCATCTGCCATAGCACAGCAAAAGCAGTCCAGCCCAAATAGTCATATTGTTATGTTTAAGAAACAAGACGGGGCAAGCCAGCTGATGTAGTTATACAGAGATAAGGCTCTTTTGGAAAAGCTTTGGACTCCCAATGCAAACTGAATGTAAACATTGTTACTTTTAACTGAAACCATGTGCTTATCAACTTAAATATTCACCAAGTTCCCATTATTAAATCCAAAACACTAAACCATGGCTTGACGTATATCTTCTTATGCAACCAAACACATAAATTATTTTTACTGTATATTTCTTCATGTCTTAATTACAGTAAATGCTGAGGCTTTCAGGAAATAACAAAATGAACAGAAATAATGTAAAAAAAAAAATAAAAAAAACATCTTGATTATGACTCAAGCTCTTTCTTCATGTCTTAATTACAGTAAATGCTGAATTTTTGTCTCAAGAAATAAGAAAATGAACAGCAATTATATAAAAACCAAAAAAAACAAAAAAAAACAAAATAAAAAAAAAACATCCTGATAATGACCTGACAAGCCTACAAGCCCACAAGCCCTCCATACCATTACCTCTCACCGCTCTTCCAAATCCTGGTGAATTGCATATGGCAAAATTCCTGTCAGATTTGAAAGCAGTGTATTCTGCATGAACTGGTATGCAAAGAATATTTTCACATGTAGTGGCCACTGGAAATCAGGAATGGGTGATGAACTTTGGTGGCTTTGGTGAGAAACCCAGGGCAGGAACGCTGTCAGATCCAGTGAAGAAAACAAGAACGTCCTCCAGAGAGACATCGTTTTCAACTGAAAAAACATAAAACACGCTTAAATTACTATGTCTACTGGTATTTTGATAGGGTAATTGAGTATCATACCTCCCCCCATCACTCAACGCGATGCTAGTCAGCGCAGGCGTCTCTTAGCTGACATAACAGATCTGGCGATTGGCGCTTTCCTCAGCTGTCCAATGACGTTACGTTAGCGGCAGTTTGAAAAGATGCGGCGGCTGGCTTCACAGGTCTCGGAGGAAGCCTGTGTTAGCCTTCACCCTCCTAGTGTTCATAGCATCGTGTAATTGGGGGAGTCCTAACTAGCGGGTGGAATTGGAGACGACTAAATTTTAAATGTTACAATGCCACCCAACTTTGTGAGAACTTAGTATTATTTTTTAATCATGGTATTAATTGCTAAATTTCCTGTCTCCAAAAAGTATTATAAAAACAAAAGCAGAAAATTTCGTACTTTTCCTCACAAATCATTTCAAATAATGTATTTATTAATAAAAAAGAAATCCAAAAGTGGCCTCTCACACCAATATGAATCACTCTAATCATAAGTACCTTTAGAGTTGCATGTGAGGACTTCAGCATTAGGTGGACCCTCAGAGATGCCAATTTTGTCCTTGATTTCATGTGGACACAACCGGAAAAACTCCCGAGTGGGTCCTCCATTGTCCACGGCTCCCTCAGATGTTCCATAGTCATCAGTAAATGTAACATCTACCCTCTTCTCAGGTGAAAAATTGGATCTGCCCATGGTTCTGAATGCTCCATCCCACACATTTCTTATTATGATATTGAAGCATACAGTGCTGTCATTAGTTACTCTAGAAGCCATCTGTTCTATTATTCTCTCCAAGGTCATCTTTAAATGACTAAACAATAAAAAAAATAAACAAATACGTCATAGTTAGGGTCAACAGTAATGGTAATAATTTTGGATTGTAATTAATATTTATTTAAATCCATTTAAAAAACCTTTTGTGATAAATAACACACACATGAAATATAATGCATGTTATAGCATTATGGGGAATCTTCACTCTGAGACATTTTACACCATGATTTAAAAAATATATTGGTGACAAAATGACCACAGAAATGATTAGTTATCACATAAAAAACTATATTGTTGATACATAAATACAGATATTTCTGTTTCATTCAGGAACTTGCAGCTTGCTTATTCATCTTGCTACAAGTCTAGACGTTACTGCTATCATGCATTACAATTTAAATAATTCAATTTTATGTCATCTCTTCTACTCGCTTCTCGTTTACGCTGGAATCTAAAGACCTTGAACTGGCTTCCTGGAGATCAGGGTCATCAGAGTGGTATTCTTCCTCAAATAGGTCAAGGTATGTGCTACAAGATGAAATATGCAATATTTCATATTGGACATTGTTATGGTTCAAATATATGATGTTGACACAAACTAAGAACTTCCTTGATGGTCTAATAACTTAATTGTTCTTGAATGGACAGTGCATTACTTAAGTGTCTAAAAATAAGGGATACAATCATCTAGTACCAAGTAAATCTATTCTAATACAAAATTTATTGTAAACAAGACCCACTGATATAAAAACTGAACCATGAAAATACTGCATGTAAAGAGACAGAAATGTACAAACCTGTATGATGTACTGAATGAATTAGTGCCAGATGCACTAGTTTGGGTGTGACCATGGGACATACCAGAGGCCTTATTAGCAGAAAAGCAATGCATGTCAGCACTAGCATTGACAGC